CACGCAAAGTGCCGCGGCGTCACAGGCGACAAATCCGGACCAAGCGCGCCAGCCAGTACCATGAGTGCCACGCCTGCCACGCAAAACGACGGTGGATGCGAGTTTTGTGCCACGCCTGCCACGTGAAACGAAGGCGGATGTCACCAAGTGCCACGCCTGCCACGCAAAGTGCCGCGGCGTCACAGGCGACAAATCCGGACCAAGCGCGCCACCCAGTACCATCATGAGTGCCACGCCTGCCACGCAAAACGACGGTGGATGCGACTTTGTGCCACGCCTGCCACGTGAAACGAAGGCGGATGTCACCAAGTGCCACGCCTGCCACGCAAAGTGCCGCGGCGTCACAGGCGACAAATCCGGACCAAGCGCGCCACCCAGTACCATGAGTGCCACGCCTGCCACGCAAAACGACGGTGGATGGGAGTTTGTGCCACGCCTGCCACGTGAAACGAAGGTGGATGTCACCAAGTGCCACGCCTGCCACGCAAAGTGCCGCGGCGTCACAGGCGACAAATCCGGACCAAGCGCGCCACCCAGTACCATGAGTGCCACGCCTGCCACGCAAAACGACGGTGGATGCGAGTTTTGTGCCACGCGTGCCACGTGAAACAAGGTGGATGTCACCAAGTGCCACGCCTGCCACCCAAAGTGCCGCGGCGTCACAGGCGACAAATCCGGACCAAGCGCGCCACCCAGTACCATGAGTGCCACGCCTGCCACGGAAAACGACGGTGGATGCGAGTTTGTGCCACGCCTGCCACGTGAAACGAGGGTGAATGTCACCAAGTGCCACGCCTGCCACGCAAAGTGCCGCGGCGTCACAGGCGACAAATCCGGACCAAGCGGGCCACCCAGTACCATGAGTGCCACGCCTGCCACGCAAAACGACGGTGGATGCGAGTTTGTGCCACGCCTGCCACGTAAAACGAGATGGATGTCACCAAGTGCCACGCCTGCCACGCAAAGTGCCGCGGCGTCACAGGCGACAAATCCGGACCAAGCGCGCCACCCAGTACCATGAGTGCCACGCCTGCCACGCAAAACGACGGTGGATGCGGGTTTTGTGCCACGCCTGCCACGTGAAACGAGGGTGGATGTCACCAAGTGCCACGTCTGCCACGCAAAGTGCCGCGGCGTCACAGGCGACAAATCCGGACCAAGCGCGCCACCCAGTACCATGAGTGCCACGCCTGCCACGCAAAACGACGGTGGATGCGAGTTTTGTGCGCCTGCCACGTGAAACGAGGGTGGATGTCACCAAGTGCGCCACCCAGTGCCATGTGTACCACGCCTGCCACGCAAAACGACGGTGTGTGTGTGTGAAGTGATTGTCTGTTAAGTTTGCGTATGTTAAGTTTGTGTGTGTGAAATTATTGTATGTGAAGTTTGTGTGTGTGAAATTATTGTATGTTAAGTTTGTGTGTGTGAAGTTATTGTCTGTTAAGTTTGTGTGTGTGTGTGAAGTTTGTGTGTGTTAAGTTTGTGTATGTGAAATTATTGTATATTAAGTTTGTGTGTGTGAAGTTATTGTCTGTTAAGTTTGTGTGTGTTAAGTTTGTGTGTGTTAAGTTTGTGTATGTTAAGTTTGTGTGTGTGAAATTATTGTCTGTTAAGTTTGTGTGTGTGAAGTTATTGTCTGTTAAGTTTGTGTGTGTTAAGTTTGTGTGTGTGAAATTATTGTATGTTAAGTTTGTGTGTGTGTGAAGTTTGTGAAGTTATTGTCTGTTAAGTTTGTGTGTGTTAAGTTTCTGTGTGTTAAGTTTGTGTGTGTGAAGTTATTGTCTGTTAAGTTTGTGTGTGTTAAGTTTGTGTATGTTAAGTTTGTGTGTGTGAAATTATTGTATGTTAAGTTTGTGTGTGTGAAGTTATTGTCTGTTAAGTTTGTGTGTGTTAAGTTTGTGTGTGTTAAGTTTTTGTGTGTGAAATTATTGTATGTGAAGTTTGTGTGTGAAATTATAGTATGTTAAGTTTGTGTGTGTGAAGTTATTGTCTGTTAAGTTTGTGTGTGTTAAGTTTGTGTGTGTGAAATTATTGTATGTTAAGTTTGTGTGTGTTGTGTTACGGAGGCGGCGGGAGGAGGAGGAGAAGCCCGGGATACAGAATCAAAAACAAGAACCCCACACAAAGATGTGGGGAAAAAGGGACAAGCAAAGATAGCCACAGCAGCGGAAAGAGTGGCAAAAGCAGTGACAGCAAAGACAGGCGCGCCATCTGCTGGAAAACAGGCCATACGACAGAGAAGTGTTGGTTCAACTCGAAAGGCCGAGAAAAGGGCAAAGGGAAGAAGTCCGTTTCAGCAATCGCTGAGGGTGACACATCCTCGGTTATCTCTGCTGGGCCCTCGGCATCTCAAGTGGGAGGAAACAGTACCATCATCACTCTCCCACCCTCGACGCAATACAAACAGCGAAAAGAGTCTTGGTAAGATCGGGAACACCGACTTCTCATGGTCAAGGCCGTCCAAGAGGTGCAGAGCAGCATCCAGAGCGCTGAGTCCACTTTGGCAGAACAGGGCAAGGTTTCACAACTTGAGGCCACTTTGGCCAATCCCAAAGGAGAGAATCTGCAACCTAGTGATGCCATTTTGGCACTGAACGACAGACGAGGCTGGCACGACCTCAGTCTTGACACCAATGTGTACGTGACGAAGGGCCGTTCTGGTCGCAAAAAGAAAGTATGTGGCTCCAGGACCTCAGTATCCTGAGTACACTCTGAGAACAACCTGGCAATGGAGTGAAAAGTTGCAACAATGGCAATGCCAAGAGCTCAGAAAGAGGTGGAAGCTATTGAACGAGGGAGCCCCATTCAGTCTTCGATGGCAACAAGGTCTCAGCAATCCAAGTCTTCAATGCTGGAGACAATCCGCGTTTGGCCAAGATTGCCAGCCGGGGTACTCTTTTAGTAGACACTGGAGCATGCTCCTCAGTGTGCAGACCTGAAGCGTTTCAAACAGCCGCCTTGAATATAGAAGCGGTAGAAGAACTCTACACTGTGGATGACACACCGCTCAAGGCATACGGGGAGATCCGCCCAAGACTCAGGTTAGGTGAACAGCACAAGGAGGAAGCATCCTCTCTGTCAACAGAGCACTTGACATGGGTGCCAGTGTTCACTTTGAACAGTACGGTGGGCAGACGGCAGCAAAGCCATTTTTTCCCGGAACGGCAAACAGTTCCTCTTGCCGTTTGGGGAACTAGAACAGCCAAAGGCTTGGCAAGCAAAGATCGCAGCCATCGATCCAGCTGATGAGGGAATGCTCTGCATGGCGATGAAGAAGGAGATGCAGTCAGAGAGCACGCAGGGCGTGAAGAGGAAGCAGCCTCTGAACAAGACTTGGCGCTGGAGGATCCAGGTCTGTTGGCCGACCTTGAGGAGGAGGCGCAGCCCAAAGGAGAACTGGATGCCAGTTGCAATTTGACCCCGTGGCTAGTGCACCATGCAGCATGGTTCATAGCTCGTTATCAGACGAGGTCACGTGATGGTCTCACTCCATACAGGATGGTCAATGGAGCGGACTACAATCACCCATTGGCAACCCTGGGTGAAATCGTGTTGGGCAAGATTCCAATGCCAAAAGGCAGAAAGGTGTGCGGCTACGAAAGTTGGACAGAGACGACAGCCATGTAATTGGCACCTCAGCAGGTGCGATTGCTGTGAGGTCGATCCACCGCTTGCCTAAGGAGGCCCAGATCGACAGTGAACTTGTGAGTGAAATGAAGGGAATCCCATGGCAGCCAAGAGATGGCGTCCAACACAAAGTCAGCAGGGAAATATCGGAATAGCGGGCAATGCCGCGTCTGCGGAAGAAGTCGAAGAAGTCCATCCAACTTTGGCAGAAGAGAAGATGGAGAGAAGGTTGATGAAGAGGGGGCGGCAGTCGTTGCCGCAGCACAACTTGAGGAGTTGATTGCCCAATGGACGAAGAGGGCGAGCACTTCTCAGCGGGGGATGCCGCGGAAGATGGTATGGTTGACAGTCCGACTCCTCCGCCTTCTCCGCCGTCTGCCAGCAGCAGCAGCAGCAGCAGCAGCCTCGAGCGGGCAACCTCCGCCCTTCCGCGGCGCGGGTTGGTCATCAAGTCTGCAAAGCTTTCTAAACGAGCCCACAAGTCCCAGTGGCCTCGGTGAAGGAGGGAAGCGTGAGCGGAAGCCATCCACCCAACTCACACCAGGTGAAGCAGAACCCAAGCAGTCCCGACAAGCAGGGATCATGCGACACCTGACCAACCGAGAAATCTGGGGGAAGATCCAAGAATGGAGAAATGCAGAGGAGGAAAGCAATCCCACTGCGATCCAACGGATTTCCAATGTGACGGACTTTGTGGATGAACCTCTTGACCCACAAGAGGTAGAAGAAACGCGCAAAGAACAGCTCGCCAAGCTGTGGGCAAGAGGCGCTTTCACGCCAGTCCACAGAACGGAAATCCCGGCTGGTTCCCAAATGTTTTGCCACAAATGGGTCGACAAGTGTTCCAAAGGGGCACACAAGTCGAGATTCACATGTGCAGATGTGAAAGCCCGATATAGTGCGGAAGAGGAGGAAGGCCTGGATGTGTTTGTGCCGACTCCGATACCCGAGTCGCACAATCTCTTGGAAGTGTATGCGCTGCAGAATTGTTTTTATACAAGGAATCTTGATATCGTTGCCGCCTTTTTGATCGGAAAAGATCGAGGTGCAACGGAGGGCAAGCCCGTCTATGTTCGTGCACCTGTTGAGTGGCACGGCCTCTTCCTGGAGTGACTCAAAACGCTCAATCTTCAGGAACGAGCCTGGTATAAAGAGCGCTTCAAGGAAATTTATCTCCGCCTGGATGGAAATCTTTATGGAAGAAGAACAGCAAAATCGGTCTACCGCAATGAGCTTGAAGAGATTCTATGCTCGCAGGTAGATCCGCAGCAATGTGCCTTTGTCAGGGGACAGAAGGACCCATGTGTGTTTCGATGCACAAACACAGGCATTATTCTGCTGCACCACATCGACGACATCCGAGCTGCTGGACCAGAAAAGCCCTAGCACAGCTTTTCGTAAAAAAGTTGCCCCGACTCTGCGAAGTTCAAGCGGGCGAACTCGAGCAGGAAGGCACCGCCGTGGAATATCTCGGCCGGACAAGATCCTAACAAAAGATGTCATCATCACAGTGCCAGATGAACGCCATTACAAGGCCGTGATTTCTGCAGCGGGTCTCCGCCAAGAACCGTAGTGAAGTCTTTCCAAGCAACTCAACCTCCTGGAGACTGAGCCATTGGACGAAGCGCAATGCAAAAAGTACAGGAGCGCAGTAAGCTCACCCATCTCCTTGCCACTTGACAGGAGGGATTTACAATTTGCTGTCAAGGAGGCTGCGCGAAGAATGTCAAACCCCAGGAAGTGTGACATGCAGTCTGTGAAAACCCTCGCAGCATACTTGCAGGCACATCCCACCGTTTCACGGGTGATTACCTGTGACCAGCCCTGGTCGATATAGAGTTTTACAGCGACACCGACTGGGCAGGATGCCTCGAGACACGCAGGTCAACAGACAGCCATCTTGCCGTCGTAGCAGGGGCAGTTGTGACTTGCTCAACTTAAACCCAACCGGATTTACCTGCAACGTCATCGCCTGATGCCGAGCTTCGAAGAGTATCTCGCGCAGCACGGGAAGGGATCTTCTTGAAGGATCTCATTACTCTCGGATTTCGGCAGACGTGGGGGAAGCCCCGCCTACGGACTGATGGCTCATCGGCAATCCAAGCTTCAAAGCGCATTGGCCCTGGAGCCAAACTGCGTCATCTAGAGTTGTGTGAATTTTACGTGCAGGGAGCCTTGCAGGCCAAGCTGTTATCCTTAGGGAAAGTCAAAGGAACAGTGAACTGCGCGAATTTTCCCGCAAAGCATCCCAAGTCTGGAACGGAGATGCGACAACCGCTACCGGGACTTGAAATGTACGAACCTCCGAAATGAGAACACATCCTTTCAACCTCAAAACGCATCAATGTAAAAAGTCTCCCAAATCAAGAAACAGCCAACATGGAAGACACCAATCCCAGCTTCTGTCGCCTGGACGCACAAGCACGCAGAAGGAGCGGGAAAGACCGCCACGGTGACCCAAAAGAACGCCAAGGTTCAACGCCATAAAGAGATTGGTGCTCCTGAGCCAGATCAACGCTGTGCAGGAAATCAACACTTGGCAGCTGTTGATCCCCTATAGCCTGGCATCGTTTGGAACTACCACCATGTGCTGGAAAGTGTGTCAACTTAGCGGACAAATTGCGGAATGGCTCTTTCCTCTTGAGCCAGAAGAACCTGTTCCGGCTCAAGGCAAGGATCCCAAGTTCAGCTCAATTTGAGGTTCACCGCAACCCGCAATGGAAGAGAACTAGCAATCACAGTCGGAAATGCACGAATAGCCGCGCCAGCAGAAGCCCCGCGGCAGTCAGGAATAGAACTGACTCCTCAAGCTGTCGAAGGGTGGCATGAAGAAAGATGGGCCCAAAGGGGAACTGCTAAACATGTTCAGCATGACTCCCTGCTGCGTGGATGACACGCACAAATCAAAAAGTGTCAAGCAGTTGTCGTGAGGCACAATACGTGCTTCCGAAATCATAGTGGCTCTAGCCGCCCTTTGACAAAAGGTGTGGCCTGCCATGCTCCGCAACTTAGCATGGCAGCGGAGCTTGCTGTGCGGCCTTGTGTGCACTAGCGCTGGTGGTGGCGCTAGCTGCTGGTCTTGCCGAAGGACATGGCATTCACCGCCGCGAATTCGAAATGGCGGTTGGTGACAAATGTGGAGATGACAGGGATCGGAGCCCTACACCACTCCATATGGAGCCCAATGAATCGAGGATGGCTGCCAACTATTCCCTGGACTTCGAAGACTGTTTGGGACTGGCACCTTGCGATGATGGTGATGTTAGCTGTGCAGAAGGAGCTGTAGTGATCTATGAGGAGGCCGACGTCTTCCTAGAATCGCATGGCTGTTCATGGATGGGTATGTGCTGTGGAAAGATGAGATGGTGGATTGGTACCACTATGGGGAGGATTAGAACCGCCATGGAACTGGCAGTGAGGATTGGAACCTCATCCCACCTTTGGCAGCTGCAATCAAGAAAGGAGACAAAGGAAAGAACAAAGGAAAGCAACAAAAGGGAAAAGGATGTGGTGGTGGAAACAATAGCAGCACCTGCAAACTTTGCGGTGAATATGGCCACTGGGGAAATGAATGTCCTCTCAAGAACCGGGTGAACCAAGTTGCTGGTTCTGGCAATGCTTGTGCTGAAGCTCAAGGAGGTCCCAATGACACTACAAGTACAACTGGGTCAGCGTCAACACGGAGGGCTAGTACCAGTTGTACAACTTCCAGCTCTTTGTCTTCTACATCCAAAGCTGTGAGGTTGGTGAAAATGCACCACGAGGCCACACCACCTGCTGAACAACCTGAAATGTATGAGATGAGAAGCGATCTTGAAGAAGATGGCTGTGATGAATGGTACGTCGGATGGTTTCTGACACTACAACCTTGTGGTTCAGGATGGATGCTGGTGACGATGATCAACCTGGTGAAGTTTGCTAGTCTGGTGACCCTCTCATGGATTGGTACCATGGACTTCCCAGCACTTTGGATCGGTGCCAAGGTTGCAATGAGGAGGACGAGATCTTCCACGCTCGAGCTGCTTTGGGTGGTCAATTGGTTGTTCTGGATTCTGGAGCTGACATCAGCCTCTTGCCCTACCACATGAGTGGATGTGGTACTCCACGACCTGTTGGTCGAACTATTTGCCTAAGGTGAACGAACGCCTTCAGACCTATGGCCAAGGTCTGCACGTGTGGAGTGTGAAGGTCTCAACATGACCTGGTGGTGATCGAGGATGATTTCATCGTGGCTTCAGTTCAAAACCCCCTATCTCCTTAGGGAGGCTGATACATCGTTGATGGAGCCTTGCACCAGTGAACTTGCCAGTGCAAGGGTGGCTTTGGTAGCCCCTGATGGAGAAGCTATGGTATCACTTCAATTCAATTCAAGCGCAACTCTCTGGCTGTGTGCGCTGTTGCTCAGGCGTATCTTCAGGAGAGGTTGGGCAACATCAAGCAAGGGCAACATCAAGCAATGGAAATCCCTTCATCATCATGCCTGAGTCCAAGAACTACCTCAACCCTCACTTGGTCTACTCTCGTTCTGAATGGCCCCTGCGCTCAACTGCAATCCAATTGGAGGACTACACGTGGGAGATGGTGGAGTTTTGCAATCAATACTACATCTCTGACTATGTGGACTCAGAGATTGAGGAGTGTGACAAGCCCACCTTTGTCCTCACGATGTTGCATAAGCAGGAAGAGCCCTTCACGGTCTTTGGACAAGTTGGAGCACAAGAGATGATTGAAGCTAGAGGATCAAATGGTGACCCCAACTCTTTCACTTTCCCTGAGGAACCCAAGGTCCCTATGGAGATGGCCGAGCACTTCAAGCCTGAAGAAGTTGACCAAGTTGAACCACGTGGAGCTGGTGGTGAATCTGCCCCTACCTTTGAGTGGCAGTTCGAGAACAAGGACACCTTGGTGGTGAATGATGAGCCTCCTCTAACGATTGACAGCAGCATTGGTTTCTTGCGTGCAGCTGCTGAGTACCTAGGAGTCTCCAAGAATGGCAACAAGGAGATGATTTGGACGAGGCTGAACCAGAAGGTCCAAACCTTGGAACATGAACAACTCTTCCTTGACTCCAACCGTTTGCATCGGGATGAGCAGTGGAAACAAAGTCTTGTGGGACAATCTGTGCCCAGAACTCCTTCAGAGGAGGAAGTGGCATTGCACGAGCTGTCGCATTTGCCCTGTCGAGATTGGTGCCCTCACTGTGTGAGTTGCAAAGGCAAACAAGATCCACAACGTCCTGTTGAGTTTTCCTCTGATGATAGACGCTCAATATCTAGCATTGAGATTGACTACTGTCTTTTCAAGGTTGAGGAGAGTGATCCTGTTTCAACAGTACTGGTGGCAATTGACTGCCAAAGCAAGATGCTGTTGGCTATGCCTCTTGCTTCAAAAGGGTCCAACCTTCGAGGTCAAGCTGACAGCTTGGTGCGTTTTTCAATGGTTCTCATCTACATGGACCAGGTGGAGTTTGTCAGTGACGCTGAGCCAACAATGAAGTCACTGCTGGCAAGTGTTCAACTTCTACGGCAACACTTGGGCTATCCCACAACCGTGACCCATTCTCGATCAGGAGATAAAGAACGCACTGCCCAAGTTGAACGAGCCATACCAGACCCTTCGAAAGCAAAGCAGCACTCTGGTCCAAATGGCAAGTGACAATTGCCCTTTGCATTTACCAAGTGACCACGCATTATGGCCTTAGCCTTTTGTGCATGGAGCATGGCTGCTGAACAGGTTCCACAACCATTCCACTACAAAGACCTCAGCCTTTGAGTTGGTTCATGGAAGGAGATATGCTGGAAAGATCGCCTCATTTGGCATCGACGAGGAGCCAACACCAAAGCTGGTCCTCAGTGGGTACCTGGAGTGTGGCTGACCAGAACTGATGGAGATGATCTACATGTGGTAACAACGCCTGAAAGCTTGCTGAAGGGTAAAGCCATCAGAAGGCTTACAGACCCTTGGAGACCTACGTAGCTTTTCATGGTTCAGGACAAGCCCTTCCAGAAGCCCACAAGAAAAGCAACTCTCAAGAACCTTGGATTTGGTGCACCTCCTACTCCAGAACCTGTGGCAGAACGACAAGAAAAGTTCCCTGATGAAGCCATTGACTATGACGCCAGGGATGTGATCGACTATGCCAGGACACATCCACACAGTCCTGTGAATGACTCTGGAATGCCTGAGAATCACGAGAACAAACGCAGTCATGAAGGAGATTGCTTTTCACCTCACAAATCAGCCAAGTTGGAAGTGACTGCAACTGGTGGAAAGGGAACTGTCTTGGATGACAGCAATGTCAAGGAGCCCGAGGCAATTGGATAAAGGCAGTCCCTCATCGTCATCAAGCCGTCTTTTTGCCCCTCACTATGCTGGCAACATCCAACATGTCATGGAGATTGGAGAGCTGGATGATGAACAATGGGAAGAAGATATAGCTGGATACCCCGAGCCTGAATGGATAGCCGCTGGTGGTGGTGATGGAGGTGACGATCAAGTTGATGAAGGTCGACCCCCTGAAGTTGACCCTGACGAACTGGAGCAATTGGATGAGGCAGCTGGCTTTGAAGAGATCACAAGGTTCTTGGAGATGAAAGTGATTGAGGAGCCCTCAGCTGAAGACCTTGAACAAGGCGTGGTTCTCTCCACAAAGAGTGTCATGGATTGGCGCTTTAGAAATCAAAAGTGGCAACGACGTTGCAGGTATGTTGCCCGAGAATTCCGAGCTGGAGACAAAGGATCGGCAGCAACCTTTGCACCTACTTCAGGTGTTGGTGCCCGGTTGGTTCTGGTGGCACACTGTTGCTCTCAATGGCTGCTGGCATTCCTACTTCAGCAGCGTGAGAAGATCTTGGTGGAGAAACCCTCTTGGTGGTCTGATGAATCAGGCACAAGGTATATATTGGTCCCTCAGCAAATGCCTGCCTGGACAGAGAAATGCTGCGGCACGTTTCTTTGAGTTCCTCTGTGAGCATCTACAAGCTCTAAGGATGAAAAACACACCACTGCTTCCAAGCCTTTTCAGGCACAAGGAGAAGAAGTTCATCCTGTGTTCGCATGTCGACGATCTGGTAGTTGGAGGTGAACGAGAAGCAGGACAATGGCTAGTGGCAGCATTGAAATCAAGGCTGACTCTGCAAGGAGGTGACCTCATTCCTGCAAAAGATCAGGATGATCAGGACCCAGTGAGATTCCTCAAGAAGAGACACTTCTTCACGCAGGCGGGGGTTATCATCAGCTCGCACGAGAAATATGCTGATGAATTGGTGCAGCTCTATGGTTTGCAACACCGCAAACCAAAGACGACCCCTGATGTGAGTGGGGAAATCTTTGAGTCTGAGGAGTTGGATGAGAAAGGAAAGCACCGGTTTCGCTCAGCAATGGGTACCCTTTTGTACCTCAGCCAGGACCGGGTAGATCTACAACACTCGGTCAGACACCTCAGCCAGTACATGTCGCAACCTACGGTGGCGGCTGACGCAGCAGTGAAACATGTGATCCTCTACCTCAAGGGCACGGCTAATTTGGGCATTCTGCTGGGCTACAACCTTTCCAACAAAAGCAAGCTCAGCGAGATCTATGGAGCAGCAGACCCTGAGGATCGAGCGAAAGATCTTGTAAAGGCTTTCACTGACGCAGATTGGGCTGCGGACAAATCTACAGGAGTTGGAAGTTGGAAGGAGACATTCTGTTTCTTCAGCCATGGTCTTTGTCAATGGTCGCCTGGTGACAGCCTGGTCAAGGACTCTGAAAAGCATAGCCCTTAGCAGTTGCGAATCTGAGTGCCTAGCAAGCGTTGGTGGTGGCTCAGAAGCTCTCTGCATTGCGGCCCTTTGGGAATTTCTCACAAAAAGAGAGAGAGAGAGAGAAAGAAAGAGAGAGAAAGAGAGAGAAAGAGAGAGAGAGAGAGAAACTGAGGCCAGGATCATTTCAGATTCCTCATCCTGCAGAGCCTTTTCTCAACGACAAGGCGTGGGACGCTTGAAACACATCAACGTGAAGCACCTGTGGCTGCAGGAGAAGATCAAGGAGTGTGCGCTGCAGATGGATGGTGTCCCCACGGTGTTGAACATCGCGGACTTGGGGACGAAGCGGCTTGCAAAAGCTCAGCGTGACTTTCTGATGTTTCTCATTAATTTGGTGAAGTACGACCGGAGTGGGAGAAGATGCTTTCAACTCCTACCTGCAGAAGAAAGCTCTTGGAAACAGGATGAAATCAGTGGGACAGGTGATGCTGAAATCCCTCATGGCATCTGGCGTTTTTGCTCGTGCCCACTTGTTTTTACTTTCCTTTTGGCATCGGCCTGGTAAGTATTGGCTTAGCCATTCTTTGCCTCGCCTGGGTGGACCCAGCCTTCCAGCTTGCAAGGGCAGCTGGCGGCGCACGGTGCCCCTGGTGCCGCTGATTCTCACTTGCATCTGTACAGTGCCACAGCTTGGGCCGTGGTATAGCCTCTCCAATGCAATGCAAGTTCTGCATTTCTTTATTATACAGTCAAGCTGTATTTGGGGACCTCAAGCCTCTCCAATATTTCCCTCATGGATGGTGTGGAGGACCTGCCTATCAAGATCTCCAAACCCATGGTCAATGACTATCATGAGATTGCAGCCTTTTGGTAACTGGTGCGCGCTTGGAAGAGATCAACTATGACCTGATGGTACGACACTACACCATTGCCGAGGTCTTTCTCGAGCGCCCGTGGCTCATGTTGTCCTATGCTCTGGTCGTCATGGTCGTGGGCATCATCATCATCGGGCACTACCTCAAGATGGCGATCCACAAGATCGAGCTGTCAAAGGTCCTGTTTCAAGGACTGTGGTACGAAAATCTTGATTGGGCCAGAAAAGCCATCGCTCAGCAAACCAATGCTTGAGGGGCACTGTACAGAAAGGCCAAGAGACACATTTCCACGGCCAAGACTTTGTTGCATGGCTGGGGTAGGAAGAGATGAACGATGAAGCCAATCACTTGCAGAGAGTCTTGCCAATCGTGATGCAGAAAGTCACAGTGGCCATAACAGGAGTCGCAATGCCGGAACACATGTCGCTGACGGAGTTCTGCTGAGCAAGCAGGCTGAACTGCTGCCCACGGGTCTGTATGGCTATGGTCGCGAAGGCGATTGATTGCAAACGAAGCAGGTGACTTCACCCTCAACTTCAACTCGAGCTGGCCGCAGTGGCAAGAAGCAAGGCAGCATCCCGTCGGGTGACATCCGCCTCCGTGGGGCTGACAAGCTCGGCTCGACGACGAAGGGCCGCCCGGCCGCGAAAGCGGCGAGCGGTAACACAGAGCTCCTGCAGGAGATGGGTGTAGCAAGAAGCCGCATCTTCGCCTTCACGGGCTGCTGTGGCTCGGGCAAGTAGTCGAAGAGTATGCGAAGCCGAAGTGGACCAAGCACCTGTGGACTCGACCACCATTGGTTGAAACCGTACCCCTTGATTCTCGCAAACCTGTGCAGTCTGGAGGTGGGCTGCCTTGACGTCGGCGTAAGCATCTGCAGCCGCAACGGCTTTGCCACTAGCCTCACGTAAGCTTTCAGACCGCTGAGGAGCTGTGACAGCGATGTCGAGTGCGGTCGGAATGCCTGCAAGGCTGGGAACAAACACATCGGCTGGCCGCCGGCGCCCAAGGCCAGTGTCTTCTGGCCGCTGAGGCAGAAGAAGCCCAAGCTTTTCCCGTTCTGGGTGCAAGCCTGCCCTTTCAGCCCACCTGTAGATGACATCTCGCACGGCATGGTGCCGCAAGGTGCGTTCTCCACCGGCCGAACAAGTTCCAGCATGTAAGGAAAAGCGGTCCAGAATGCCATTGCATTGGGGGCACCACGCATCGTCCGCTGCATCTGGCATACCCAGGCGATGTCGTAGTTCAGCAAGAAAAATGGCAGGCTCCAAGCACAGTGGTCCAGCAGGGCGGGCTGTTAGGAAGGCACGGCCCCCCTGCGTGGCTTCCGACAGCAAGAGGGCTCTTCCAGTTAAAGACGAAGTGGAAACTTGAGCGTCCCAGCTGGCGGCATCGAGTGCCTGAGTTAACTGCTTCTGCGTTTCGCCAAGGCAAGTTGGCAGAATAGCTTTTTGAGCTGCTGGGAGGTGGCCATTGTAGAGATCCAATGCCGCCGCCGCGTGCCCAGAAGCCAGGAGCTCAGCATCGCCCAACATGGGGTCAAGTTGACGACAAAGTTCACGACTCTTGCCGAAGGAGGCGAGGTAGGCTGCAGCTCCATCCAAGTGGGCAGACCGTAGACCCAGCCCAGCCTGGTCAAAGCCACGGGCTGCTTGCTGCCATTGGCCATCTGTGGGATGCAAGCCCGTGAAGCTGCTAAAGCAAGCGCGCACGCCTTGGTCGAACGCTTTGAAGCCTTGGAGCTGAGCCGACGGCGGGGTGCACCGCATGTTGTGGACCATTCTGCAGTGGCCGCCGCTGGAACGACGGAGGCGGAGGGCAACCTGCGGGTCATCCAATGTACTGATGGCGTCCAGGAGTTCGAGGGCAGAGGTTGTACGCTTTTGCGTGTGGGCGGCGATGAAAGCCGCGTCGCCGACCGCTGCGCCAAGAAGTTCAAAGTTGGCTTGCACTCGGCTCTGACCACTGCTGTCAAGCACCAAAGCTGGGGGAAGGTGGGCGGAGAGGGCGGCAGTGGTAGCTCCCAAACTGATGGCTTCCGACTTGTCCAAGTTGAGGTGTAACCCAAGCTGAGCAGACTGGGCTTGGATGTGGGCGACCGCCGCGCCAACTGCTGCAACATCACCAGCAATCACGCCGTCGTCGAGGTAGAAGAACACGAGGTCGAGCGGCCCTTGACGCAGGTCGAGCACCAAGGAATGCAAAGCGCCTGCGAAAAGCAAGGGCCCCAAGGGATCGCCTTGCTGGACGCCACCGGCAGACAGCAGGGTCGTAGTTCCAAAGTGAAGGCCTGAAGGCTGCTTGTAGCACCACGTCACCCATCGGGTTAATGCCGGGAACCGTGCGGTGACGGCGTCCAGCACGGCCTGCCGGGAGACCAAGTTGAAGGCGTTCTTGAAGTCCAGCTTCACCAACACTTTGCCGGGTTGGCTTTGGTGGCGGTCGTACCAAGCGCGGGCAGTGTGAACCGCAGCTTCGGCCCCTCCTGGGATGGCACCGCCGAGCTGTGCAGGAGCAAAGTGTTGCCGAGCGTCAGCCCGCACCGCTTCCATTAAGCACTTGGCAGTCAATCGCCGCAGAATTTCCCCAACTGCAATGGGCCGAACACCGCCGGCGGGCTTAGGTAGCGCAACTAGGCTGGCTCCGGCCAGGCTGGGCGCCACGGCTGGGCAAGCATGGCCCTGCGCCAGCAAACTTACCACGCCGCAAAGTTGCTGCAGCAAAGCGTCAGCGGACCCGGCCGCACAGGCCTCCCGAAGATGTTGAACTCGAAGGCCCGATGGACCCGCTGCGGTGTCGGCCGGAAAGCTCCGCAATGCTCTCGCAATGGCTTCTGGCACAAGCACTGGTGCTAAGGGTTGAGCTGCAAGCGGCCAGGTGGTGGGAGGAGGTTGGGCAGGATGAAGTGCTTGAAGAGCTTGCGTGGTTGCGGCTGTTTGCGGGCAAAGCCCCTGTGAGAGCAAGGCGTTGCAGGCTTTCCTGTCGAAGCCCTCCCGTGCCAGTGCTGTGGCGAGACTGCGCTTCTCCTCGGCGCTGGGTTGTTTATGGCGCCGCCCGCCAAGTGAACCACGGGAGTCCCAAAGGCTTTGCCGTTCGCCATGTTGCCACTGGTGAAGGCGATCCAACGTGTAGGCGGCACTGGCTTTGGCATGCTTCCGTCCCCCGCGTGGAGGGACGCCCAGGACACAGCGGGGCAGCATCAAGAGTTCACGCCACGACTGTTCATCATTGTGGTGCACAACTGCGGCCAAGGTTCGGGCAAGGGTCTGGCTCCACAAATGACGGGCACTGTGCGGAACATGGCGAAGGGTTGGGGTGCCACCTTGCTGAATTTCTTGGAAAGTAGGGAGCCGTCTCTCGGGCTGTTGTGGGGCAGTCTGTGGAGTGGCAGCCCAGAGTGCCGGGTGAAGGTCCTGTCTTGGGCAAGGAAGGTGATTGGAGTAGAAGAAACTCACCTTCGTTGATGATTGGGATCCGGCCAACATGGAGTTGAGACAGTACCGGGCGCTAGAGTCCGCGAATGCCCTGGCGGATTGGCACGATTTGTGAAGCTGGACCGAAAAAGGCGAAGGAAGTATGGCATCGATGAGACGGATCCGCTGAATGCCTACGATCTGACTTCTGGAGAAGAAGCTGAAGAAGAAGAAATGGAGGTGGACGAAGCCCTTCCAGCTGTGGCCGAAGCGTTTTCGCGAATGGCCCATACAGAGCTCTATGGCGCGGACAACGTTGCTGGAGGCAGAGATGGTCTCCGGCGAATGGGGCTGAGCGGCGGGTGTCTGACGAAGCACCGAACCTTCCAACGATTGGCGTCGACTGGAACGACTTGGAGGTGATCTACGAGCACCTGCCGCTGAACCAATGTGAGAGAGCACGCCGTGTACAGGAGGTAGGTTTGTTTAACCTTGTCTAAACTCAAGAGCCAAGCTCCATAGGGATTGTCAAAGCGTCTTAAAAGGTGGTACGGTGTGGGTGGTACGGTGTGGGTGGTACGGTGGTACAGTACAGGTGGACAGGTGGTACCGTACGGGTGGTACGGGGTATGGTACGGGAGATACGGCGGTAGGGTACGGGTGGTACGGTGGTACGGTACGGGTGGTACACCTTGTACATGTTGTATCATGTGGTGTCAACTTGTATAAAATTTGGCCCGCGCGGTCCTACAGTAGGAGTGGTACAAGTGGTGATAAAACGAAGCTGCAGGGGGGTACAACAAAAACATGCCACTTAGTATGGCGCGTGGACTGCTAGAAGATTTACAAGTCATTGAGGTGGGTGAATGTAAATTGGGCTAAAAATGGGGGAATCCAATGCAACTCTTGCAGGACATCAAGCACCCTCTCCAACCCCCATGGAAGTTATCACCGACAGGCCGTATGTTTCACACACACCTACCACAATGAGAAGTAGTCATATCTTGACGCAATGCTTCTGCATTATGCTAGGATAGTATCAAGTTGGAGGTTGTAGAGCACAGCTTGCATGCGGGGGAAACAAGAGCCATAAGCAAACCAATTTGGGTTTCTTCAATCTTGCAACCCTATAGTGGTTGAGGATGGTTAAGGTTTATTTTCTGGTTCTAGATTCTGGTTGCTGTTAAACGTCGCATTTTCAACCATTGCCTGCAATTCCTCCAGGCAATGACCCATTCATTCCTTTGATCCTGGATGCTTGCTCGCAACGCAATTTTTAATGCATGAAACATGCACCAAGAAAACACATACTGTATTCTGTCAATGTAAGCTAACAATGCATAAAGGACGCGACGTACCCGACATCACAAGACATAGAAAGCACGCAAAACATGTCATGTATGCAGTATGCAGCATGCATGTGAAACGTACGTTGGGCATGTCTGTAAGTATTGGAACCAATGACTTTTGCATCGCACTGGTTTTTGGAAGGGAAACTGACACAACAACTACAAATTCCAACTGGGTTTTATGGAGCGAGTTTATATGCTGGCACTAATCACACATTCATTGCCATTTCTTTTCCGAATTTCAATAACAACTAGCAGGTCTAAGAATTTCGGCAAAGCATAGATTTTCTAAATATTGTTTCTGTGGTGCCTTTTCCGGGGACCAAACGGCATTGAAGACTAAATAGGAGAGTTCATGCGCGAGAAAGTTCGTTTGAATGCCGTTTTAAATTCTCCTCGGTAGGTTTCATCTACTATTCGGGCGGCAGCAACAAGTCTGTTTGTGTTTCTAATGCCTCGGATTAAAATTGCAAAGCGCCTTTTACCCCTGC